GGCCTTGCCCAACACAAGTTATAAATTCGGGCACAAGAGAAATACATTTAACTGAACACAGGCACAGATGTTGCAGTAAAGGATGACACACTAGGTCCTGGTGGGCAATAGGACACGAAGGTTATGTTCAGGAGTTTCAAGTGAGGGCATTGAATTCAGAGAAGGGTTATGTTGGGAAGGTTCAGGAGGTTGTGGGATTGAATGTCAGGATGAATCTGAGCCGTGTGGAACTGCCGCTCTGTACAGGTGTACCCTTACAGAAATCTCTCTCCATAAAATGTGTGCTGCACAAAAAATATTTGCACAGCGTTTTGGCAGTCGATACTGCACAACTGGCCAAACTTTTTGCCCATGCCTTGACACTGGAAAAAGAGACTGCATTACTAACGTTTGCATAATTTAATATTTTCAGTCAGAAAGTCTGGGGTAAGGACTTAGAGTTACTGTTATGAATGTAATATTAGAATAATAATTATTGGAACTGATCATAAATAATAGAGATTTGCCTCTTGCTTTAAAGTGTAACTTTAAGCATGTTGCTAGTCACGTATGACTATTTTGAAGCTTGCTGCCTCCATCAACGCCTTGATGAAAGAGGCAGCAAGGACATCTGAAACGTCGGTAAATTTCTGCCAGACTACACTGTGCAACAACTCAGGAGACAGCCATCTTCAGATTAACCGCCATGAAAACGTCAAATCCTGCATTGTGATTGGTTTAGAAGATCACATGGCTTGTCAACATCTCGAAGTATAAAGTGAAACTCTTGTAGTAGTAGTTCTTGTGAATCATGCCAAGATGTCCACGTATGCTATCAACTTTCCGTAAGTGAATAAAATAGGTGGCTGTTAATACCTCTACTGGTTTACAGGGCCCACTGAAAAGGAAGTCATCTACAGAATCACTGCCGTAAAACCCTCAAATCCAACTTACATTGCTGACAACACAAGCGTTAGAAATTATTATCGTAGCTAAAATTATCAAATTTATATTTACCAATATTATGGGTATTTATTGGCAAAAATATTACAAAAATACTGATTTTCTTTATTTTCATCTCATTCTTACCCGATTCTGGGTCACCACGCACCAGTGTATCAAAAATCTACTAAACATAGTGTGCCATCTCAACTCGTTAAGTTGGTGATTCTTGTAATTTACGACTTGTGACTGTGCACCGGACAGGAGCCATGCTTGAACAAAACACACGTGAAAGTAATCTAATAGAGAAACAACATACAATAGAACAAATGGAAACAGAATTGTTTACTATAATATCTTTGTTGAGGTAAGTTACTTCACATAAAACGGAAATCTTTGTTTTGGTGTTTTCAGTTACAGGAGGAAATATTTTTAAGACGTTTAAAAGCGAATTTGTAACTCATGCTAGATTGGGGATGCATTCAGAGAAATTTGTGCTACTGTGATTCTGCACCTTGCGCAAGACATTCAGACTGAGTTGATATGGTTTATTACGCTGTTTGATTACCAGTCCTTTTGTCATTTCTGGAAGTACGTGAATAGAATAGAATTTATTTACATTCCATAGTTTCCTCATAGGCCGAAACCAAGCATGATGTCATAGCACAAATACAATAATTCTTTCAAATACAAATATAAATCAAATAGTTATGACAGTAATTTATATTAATTTACAGTAATAATTACGCAAGAAAGCATAACCACAGTTACATATATGTGTGGTTATAATTGCTTATAATTTTTTGTTGAGGCAAATTTTTCTATGGAGTAGAGGGAGTGAGACAGGAGGTACTCTTCTAGTACTGGCTTAAACTTCTTTATATCGTGATACATACTTTTTATAGTGGGGGGGGGGGATATTGAAAACTTACTTCCAGTGTAGTAGACTCCTTTTTGATAAGTACTGAGGTTTGTGTGTGGCACATTGAGGTTATATTTGTATCTTGTACTTATATTGTGTATATCTGAGTTATAAGTTTTTTGTTGTCCACTACAAGATATAATGAAAGCAAGAGTTCATAGGTTAGTGACAGAATATTACATTTCTTAAACAATTCTCTACACGAGGCTCTCCTTTTAATACCTACCATTATTCTAATGATTTTTTCTTGGCACAAATTACTTCTTGCTGTCTGTTAAGTTTCCCCAGCAAATAATTCCATATGGCATGATCAAATGGAAATCAGCAAAGTAGACTAATTATAAAGTTTCTGTTTTCATGAGTGATGTCAAAGTCCTTATAGAAAAGCTTAGTTTAGGGATGATGTATTGAATATATGTTTTTCAGTTCAAGTTACGGTCAATTCATAGGCAAAGACATTTCTGTTAAGATTAACTTGCAAGAATTCTGGTAGACTTATTTTTTTATGAAATGCATTTATTTGAATGCTTCACAAATTTTCAAATTCCATAATATTAAAATGTTTCATGTTGGGTTTAGAGCTATTCTCCTTATTTAACTGATGATCATTTTAGACAGAATTTTATCATGCTAATTCTTAGCTTATCTCATCGATCAGTATCAGTACAGGTCACGATTGTGGCCGTACAGAATGTGCATCAATAGCACTTGGCCAAAAGTATGGAGTGTTATTTTGATATATAATTCAATTCTAAAGGAGTTTGACGATGGTGGATTACACTTAAAATTATTTCCTATCTGGACTTTTTCAATCATCAGACTCGCTGTTTCTGACGTACCCAACTGAGCGGGTACCTTCCCTTTCACCCGAAGACGGAAACAGAGCCAGTTTGTGGCTTTTATTTTAAACTAAGATGATGGAAAATTCCAGATAGCAAATAATTTTAATATATAATTATTTATAAAAATGGCTTTCCTATGAATGACATGTACAGCTGATTTCTTGCATCCTATGATATTTGAAGACGCTGTATCGACTACAAATATTATTATGGAATGAAATATCAACGGTGTTATGTATGTAAAGTAATTAAAGTAAAGCTGTCCCACTATATGTCATGTAGGCATTGGGAGGGGGGGGGAGTTATAGCTCCTACTCATTCTCGACCTCAGCACTAGAGGGGGACGAGTGGTCAGCTTCATGCTCTGGTGTTACGAATGGTAAACCATAAAAGAAGCTAGTTAAAGAGTGTAAAACCTTTTGACCTCCACAGATTTGATGTGACTCAGCACGGACCTTTTAGACAGAAAGAGTTTGATGCCTCCACAGATTTTATGTGACTCAGCATGGACCTTTTAGACAGAAAGAGTTTGATGTAATTTAGTCACAGTTTTTGTTGTGGAACTTCCATTTTGAATTGGTAACATACAGACAGTTTTTTCCAAAATAGGAACGTTGCCGTGCTTCCATTCAGGGAGCTACTGGAAACAGTTTGGTTGCTGTACGACTAGTCTTTCACGTCTTTTCGGTGGCATCACCTCAGCCGAAACCTAGAGGTGTTAACGTACGCCGAGGTGATTCACAACTTTTGTCCGCCCATTTTGAGACCACTTTTGATGTTTGAGGTAAGTGGGATTTCAAGTAAATTATTGTATTCTGTGGGCTGTAACAACATTTTTTAGAGTGTGCGTGTGTTTAATTTGTAATTTATTGCTGATTTTTTTAATTCCTATCCTCACCTCTGGGCTCGATTTTCGTAGTTGATTAAATACTCTCGGGGCTACATACGTGCATTAGATTTTCATAATTTCTACTTGTTTTCTGATAAAGAAATTAATCAGTAGAGAGCGTAGAAAACAGTCGATGGGTCGTTCTAAATCAAATTGAACAAAATTTAATCAAGTGTCATCAATTTTGTGTTTTTTTGTTTTACCACTAGATATCTATGAAGTAAAATTTACCCCAAAGTTTTATTTTTATTTACTGTAACTAAATTATTAGATATTAACTAATGAAATTAGGCAGTTTTTAGGATGCAGTAGACCATTTTTCACGTATATGTTAATATCTCCATTACTTAAGAAGTCAGAAATACAAAATTTTGGCATCCAGCAGTAATTTGTCTTGAGGAATCTCTTGGCGTGAAGTTTGTACATACATCTGCAACAGTTTCATAATTATGACCTTTGTACCAGACTTAATTATTTATTTTTTTATTTTTATTTGTAGTGTTCTGTCTGACGACAGGTCCATATATTATGAACAGGATCCTTCCAACCTCTTGAGGTTTTCAGGGACCTGCTCATACATATATACATTCTTGGCAGAGATGATCAGAAGTGGTTTGCCATTGCCTTCTTCTGTGTGTGAGTGGAGTAATTGTTGGGATGCCACGGAGAAACCGGGGAAGCCCCCGGAGGAAAACTCCGTGATGCCTAGACCACGGCCTTGCCCAACACAAGTTATAAATTTGAGCACCACCGGGAATTGAACCCGGGACCCCAGGCTTACAAGGCTAGAAATATAGGTATAGTATCTTAAATTATCTGACTTAATTATAAAAGAATATTTAATCTATTTGGGGGGAAAAAATAGTGTGGACTTTTGCTTCATTACCAAGAAATTAAAATTTTAAATTGTGCACCATCGTCATTCTCATCCTTCTTTTGGAGTTTTGGAAACATTGGCAAGATCTGGCAACACTGCCAAGCATAACACGCCAATATGAACATAGAAATATGGAATTTAGTCAGCAGAAAATAACTGCCAAAGTGTTTTTTCTTTTACTCTTATTGCATAGCGTTTGGAAAATGAAAGAAGTTTGTAGGCTTACTTTTAATGAGGGTTATCCAGAGGAATCAATTCTCTGTGTGTATGTGTGTGTGTGTGTGTGAGAGAGTGATAAATGCATCAGAATTTTGAAGTTACTGGCTGTTGCATTACCAGAACGGAAAGACCACAGCACTTGTTTTTCAAAAACCTGCCAAGCCATCACGGCTGTTGACAGTGAAAGACATTGGCCGTTCTGTGCGGACGTGTGATTTGGGTATGAAACAGATGAAGATCTGCTTGAATGTGCCGTTTTGAGCGATGAGTACATATTTCATATCTCAAGAAACGAGCAGCCCATCCCCACGCGATTCTGCAACGCGTATGGGACAGCCCCAAATTAAACATGTTTTGTGCTTTACGTTGCGTTTCTGTTGAAAATATCAATGGTACTGTGTACCTAAACATGCTACAGAACTGTCTGATTCTACAAATTACTGATGAGGATGATCCTCACAGAAATGTGGTCTTCCAGCAAGATGGTACGCCATCTCACTCCACGCAGATGTGAAAGATGTTTTGGATCCCCCATTCCCAAGTTTCAGTTTCCTAATTCATTGGACCTCGTGCCGATGAGGTTTCTTTTACCTGGCTAGGGATTCGTGAAGGATCATGTCTGTCAGCTGTCGTCATTGACTCGTTTTCAAGAATTAAAGGACAGGATCACTAAAGCGATTGCAGAGAGTATTCTAAGAGACTGGTCTGCCACATCACTGGCGCACGCCATTGTGAAATTATATAATTGGACTGTGTTCACTAAACCTTGAGGCTTTTACCTATCTCACAGTGTTTCTGACTGTTTTATGTCGTAACAGTAAACTTTTACAAACCATTTCTAATAATTATGTGTTCAATGTGTTTGCCCTCAACTTTGACAATCTTTCATAATCTCGTCCCAAAATTTGACGTCAAACATTGGAGGGTATCCCTCGGAATAGCAAAGACCTCATGCTCAGTAGATGATCCGAGCTTCTCCAAATTCTTTGAGTTGCCCAGTACTCAAATGAAAAAGAGAAAAGATAAACAAATGGCTTGATTACTACAGTGTGTCAGCAAAGTTTTTTTTCAAATTGTAATCATTTGTTGTGGACTTTGTAAGTATATTTTGGGGAACAAGCAAAGAAAGTTATTTCAGTCAGTGCTGATATACGAGGCGCGTCCTCAAATTAAGTTTCCCACTCGTCCCACAGCTAGCAAACCTTATATTGCGCGAAGCGACTGTGCGTACGTGATAGAGCAATGATGTAGCATGGCGCATGCACAAACGGAACTTCCCGCGTTCTCACAGTAGCATTGTTGCAGCTGTTGAAGATGGAGGTTCTTATTCCAGCTCCCGCCGACTGTGAAGTGCGGTCAGTGATAACGCTAGGCCGCACACGGCTCGACGGACAGCAAGTCTCCTGCAGGAGTTCAGCTGGGAGGTGTTTAATCATTCACCCTACAGCCCGGACCTCGCTCCCAGTGATTTCCATCTTTTCCTACACCTCAAGAAATTCCTGTCCGGTCAGCGTCAGCGTTTTGAGAATGACAGAGAGGCGGAGATGGTTGTCACACAGTGGTTCCAATCCCAGGCGGCAGACTTCTACGACACAGGTATTCAAAAGTTGGTCCCACGGTATGACAAATGTCTCAAATCCGGTGGCGAATATGTTGAAAAATAGCTAGACACTTGCTGTATCTGTTGCAATAAATATTTACATGAAATTGTGTTTTGGTGAAAAACGTGTCATTTTAGACATAATCACAAGTGCAGTCTGACTGGTTTAAGTTATTCTTGCTGTGATATAATACATATTTGAAATTATATCCAAAATCCATTTAAGTTTTAAAAGATAAGGGAACTTCCTTACACACATGAGCACTCCTGTTATGTCTGTACACAGACATCCAAATTAAACATTCTTTAAAGATTTTATATCAGGGGTTCTCAGCCCTTTCAAAACCTGGGATCACATTCACCCTTTAATATTAACTCTAAGACCGCAAATTATACAGCGGAAGAATTGTTGAAACCACACAACAGTTTACTAAAAAAATGCTACTAATTTAGCTGTGATATTGCAGACAGGGTTCAGATATGAATGAATACTTTTGTTGCTGCTTTTGCTAATCTTTCAATATAATATTTAATTTTTATTGTCGTGATTTGCTTACATCATCAGTAACACAAATCTTAGTCCTTCATGTTATTCATTAAGCTGACGACAATAATTACTGCCGAATACTGGCAGCATTAACAAGCTGTGTTTTATGATATCAGGTAACTAATTTTCATCAAACAGAGTTACTCAGCATTACAGAAAATGTACACTTTAAGCACAAAACCACATTGGTGGACCACGGGTTGATAAATCTGGGTTTATATGATACATAACTGTAGGTGAGGATGTGGTACCTAATGTGACACGTATGTGAGGTTTGAGGTTCTCATTGCGGCGAGGATGTCATGTTGATGCTCTGGGTTTTAGTACCACGTAGATTTGTAAGTAGATACCAATGCATTGGAGAGATAATGTCACCATCTTCAGGGTTGAAGATACAGACAGCATGTTTCTTCAGAACGTTGGTGACTAACTACAAATCTACGTGGCATTATAACCCAGAAGAAGTACATTGTCACATGAGGTAATGTCTGCTAAAAAATCTGCACAGAACTATTTTTGGAATCTGTGACGATGATGTCCATGTTATTAGAGACGGCTATGCCAGAAACCCAGGCAAACTTCCCTGGGCGTGATCCCCTGCCTCCAAATATTCTGACGAGAGTACCGTTTGGCCGGAAAATCTGAACTCTCGCGTTTCCGCTGTCCCCGATGAGGATAAACCCTAGGGGATCGACAGCAACGCACTCTGGTGAGCGGAACTGGCCTCTGGCTTCTCCCATTGACCCAAATTCACTCAGTCTCTCGCCTGTAAGAGAGTAGATCTGCAACAGAAAAATAAATAAGGTCAATTTAAGAATTGCAAAGGTATGAAGATAGTAAAATGGGTTGTTATGTGGCGCTGGCCATGAGGGACCCTAGGTGCATCCTGTTTTTCACGAAGAGGTGTTCAAAGACCTTGTGATAGATTCAGAAGTTAAATGTGTGCGCAACAGTTTACGCATCACAGCAATGTTCATGACACACAACATGCTGTTATGGAAACTGGAGGTTCATCTATGTGCTCACAAAACTATGTTTCTGGATCCTCTCCTGAACAAATTTACTTGACTTTTTATGCTTCTGTGTGTAGGCCATGTTCCCATTAGAGTTTGTGTGTTCATCATCATGAATTTCATTTCATATAGTAAGTTAATCTCCTCCCCAAATATTGTCAGGGTGATTAAGTCAAGAAGAATGAGATGGGCAGGGCATGTGCACCGGGTATTGGTCGGGAAGCCCGAGG